AAATCAGCTGACAGCCTTATGGGAACTCCCTTTTAGGTAACTTTATCTCTTTTGTTGCCTTTAAAGATTCTGTCTTTGTCTTTAATCTGGGCCATTTTAATTATTATATGTCTTGGTATGGGTCTCTTTGGGTTAATCTAGATTGGGACTCTGTGATTCCTGCACTTGTGTGACTTTCCTTCATCAGATTATGGGAGTTTTCTGTCATTATTTCTTCAAATAGGTTTTCTATTCCTTGGTCACTTCCTTCTCTTTCTGTGTATATTGTTACATTTCATGTTGTCCAAAAGTTCCCTAATATATCCTCATTCTTTTAAATTATTTTTTCTTTTTGCTGCTCTGATTGGGTGTTGTTTTTTGTGGGGTTTTTTCTAGCTTGTCTTTCAAATAGCTGCTTTGATCATCTGCTTAATCCAGCCTGTGTATTCCTTGCAGTATATTCTTTATCTCAGATATGGTGTTCTTCATTTCTGACTGGTTATTTTTCATGGTCTCTATGTCCTTTTTCAAGCTATTGAATATCTTTAAAACCACTAATTTGAACTCTGTTTCTGATAAAGAGCTTGCCTCTATTTTTCTGGAGATTCCTCCTGTTCTTTCATTTGGGGCCTGTTTGTTTGTTGTTGTTTTTGTCTCCCCAGGTTGGCTGTTTCTTTTTGTTTGTTTCTCTGTATTAGATAGAACTGCTATGATTCCGTCTTGGTGGGGTGGCCTTATGTAATATGTGACCTGTGGAACACAGTGGCTCAGTCTCCTTGATCTCCTGTGCTGGGTGCTCTAGGAAAGCCCCTTTTGTGGGTTATGTGGGCACTCCTGTTATAATTGGGTCTTGATTGCTATTGGCTCATTTGTGGGTGGCACTGACTCTCAGGCTGGCTGTGAGTATCAACCCCTACCATGGCATACAAGCTGCTGACAAAACAAAACATAAAACAAAAAAACACACAACAGCAAAACAATTAAAATAATAAGAAAAAATAAAAAATTAAATATGGAAAAAAGAAAAAGAGAAAAGGAAAAAAAGAAGAATATGAAAATTTTAAAAATAGTAACGAATAAGAAAAGAGAAATGGGAGGAAAAGAATATGAAAATTAAACAGCAAATAAATAGAGTAAGGAAAGGAAAAAGAAAAAATATTTTTTTTAAAAAATGAAAGTAATAAGAAAAACAAAGATGTATAAAAGAGGAAAGATCCCAGCTGGTATGACTCAGTAGTTGAACATCAACCTATGAATCAGGATGTCACAGTTAAATTCCCGATTAGGGCACATGCCTGGGTAGCGGGCTCAATCCCTAGGGTCGGGGGAGGGGGGAGGGGGAAGGGTGTACAGGAGGCAGCCAATCAATGATTCTCTCTCATCTTTGATGTTTCTATCTCTCTCTCTCCCTTTCTTCCCCTCTGAAATCAGTAAAAATATATTTTTAAAAAAAGAGAGAAAAGAAAGAAAAGAATAAAAAAGTAGAGTTCCCCTCAGCAGAGTTTAGTGCCTGCTGAAGTCTCCCTTTTGATTTGCTGTTTTTGACACTTGTTGGATCCTGCTCCAATATTGTCTAAAGCTGGTCACTTGGTGTATTGGTTCTGGGCCTCTTTGGAGAAACTCTGGTGTATGCCAATGTCAGATGCCGTCCATGTCTGGCCCTGGGCAATTTGTTTGAGGCTACATGTAATGCACAGCTTGTAATACTGACCTTGGCTAAACATGAGAAGGACCAAGCTGCACTCCAGAACTCAATTTTACCAGCACTTGGCACAAGGGCTGGTCAGCAAACATCTCAAGTCACCCTGGGATCTGCCTCCACCTTCCAGCTGACTGTTAAGCTTAGTCACTGAAAGGGCTTAGTCTCAAAAAGGCAGAATCACAAGGGGGCGGTTTTGGATCTCCTGTGAGGGGGAAGTGCTATTTAGACTTTAGGAAAGATGGTGGGTGTAATCCCCCATCCAGATCCACAGGTCTGAGTCTGTCTCAGATTTTTCCCTGACCTTGGCAGGGTGGAGCCCCTAGTCTTGTAGCCAGGTGGCTGGGGCTTCTGGAGCCCAGAGGTTGAGTCTTCCAGAGGCCAGGAGGGTGTTCCTATAGGGTCTCCCATGAAGGGGAAGCGCCAGTCTGGTTTGTGGGAAAGTGGGGAAAATGGCCCAGCCCCAATTCCAGTCACTGACACCCACAGAGTCTGCCCAGGCTTTCCCTTCCTGCCTATGCCACTGACTCCTCAGCAGGACTTAAGATGCAGGGTGGAGTAAATGGGATTCTTGAGATAATCCCAGGCTGCTGCTACTTGGAGGGTGTTGCACTGCCCAGGAAAGATGGCTGCTGCGGTATCAGAGGATGAACCAGTACAGGGATTTCAGCAACTGCTCCCCCATCTCTCTCTCCCAAGCCACAAACCACAGACTCTCCTTAGGCAACTCCAGTCTGTACCACCTCCTCTGGAGCCCAGGGTGAGTGGCTGCAAACAAAACTGCGAAATGGCTCTCCAGAGGAAGCGTTTGTCTCCTTTGGGCTCTGCCTCTCCTTCTGGATTACATTTTCTTAATTGGCTAAAGAAATGTCAATGTTTCTCATGCCTGTGATTCATCTCATCTCCAAAAGGAAGATGTGATAGCGTTTCTCTAAATTATTTATTACTTAGTCTATTCTCACAGGACAGTACCAACATTTAAAACCCTAGAGTTCTAGTATTTTGTTTTTCTCTCTTTTGGCAGAAAGGTGGGATCCTAAGAAAACAAAATAGAGATGCAGAAGAGGAGGTCATTTTTTCAATCCATACTCATGCTGCTTACAAAAATTCCCTAGCTCATAGACATAAGGCTGAGAGTGAAGAAAATAAATTTAATGTATGAAAAAAAAAATCTCTCACAAGTACAATGCTGAAAGAATCTACAAGTCTTCTGTTCAGGTTTATATTTGTATGAAGGTCAAGGCCTCTGATAATTTTGGCAATTTCTGAATGGCCAAAAAAATGTTATCTTTGGAAACAATCTTGTTTTTGGCACACAAGTTAAACATTCTAGGCAGCTAATCTGGAATCAGTCTTGAGGAAGTCGTTTAATAAACAGCTCTGCACAGGTAGGCCAGTAAGTGTGTGGATACCTATAAAACTCCACTAAGTTATGGAATTAAAGGTCCCTAAGGAAATCACAGACTTTGGTTGATAACAGGCTCTGTAAAACTCAAAGCCTTCTCCAGAAGCCTTCTCCACATGCATGTCTCCTTCTTGACCAGAAAATAAATTAATGTATTTCTCTTCCTCCTGCATATTCCATCCAAGTGGACTGACCCTAAATATTGCAATTATTCAGCCTCATGGCTTCAGAAAAGTTAGAGTTCATGGTGATCAAAGATGATGTCAGAGTCTCAAAAGAAAAAGATGACAAGGTTCAACTCAAAAACACATTTAAGACATCATTGAGTAATTAGATATTATTGCTGGTAAATATTGAGGAAAAAAAAAAGAAACACAAAATGAAGATCTGGCAAAACTTCCAGGTGGAGTAACTGCCCTGAAGATCGGTGGCATGAGTGCTGCAGTTACAGATGCAGTAAATGCTGCACGAGACACTGTCAACAAGGACACAGTGTGGCGGTGGCCATGTGCAGCTTTGATGCTGACAGCTGTGCTTGGGGTTCACTGAGCCTGGATCAGTGGGTTTAGCATTTTCATTAAATTTGGAAAGTATTTCTTTAAATATCTGTCATGTGCCCCTTCTCTTCGGAGGACTTCAATCACATATATACAAGGACACCTGGAATTGTCCCACAGCTCAGGGATGCTCTATTCACTTGTTTAAAATTATTTTTTATTTTTGTGTTTCATTTGGGTAGTTACTGTACAGTGTCCCCAAGATTAGTGAACCTTTCTTCTGTAATGTCTAATTTGCTGTTAATACTATCCAGGGGTTTTCACCTTACACAGTGTAGTTTTCATCTCTAGAAGTTCGACTTCAGTCTTATGTATACTTTCCAAGTCTCTTTATTGAACATAAAGTATGGAGTCATAACTATTTATGAGTGACAGGTTTAAAACCACTAATTCTAGTGTATTGTTTCTGGGACAGTTTTAATCAACTTAGTTTTCTCTTCATTATGGGTGAATTTTCCTGCTGCATTGTGTGCCTGATAACTTTTGATTGGATGCCAAGCATTGTGAATCTTTTTGGGAGCTGGATATTTTGGTACTTCTATAAATCCTCTAGTTCTGTTCTCGCATATGAGCTCATTACTTGGAAACAGTTTGGTCTTTTAGGATCTTGCTTTTAAGATGTGTCAGGCAGGACTGGAGTAGTGCTTAGTCCTAAGTTAGTATTTCCCAATATTAGAGGAAGACCCTCAAAGTGCTCTACCCAATAACTCATGGAACAAGGGTATTTCAGGCTAGCTTGTGTGAACAGGCATATACTCAGGCCTGAGTGTCAGGCATCATTCCTTCTAATCATTTTGGTAGATTCTTTCCCCAGCCTCCAATAATTTCCTCACATACAGTGCTGATCAGTATTTAAGGGGTGCCTCAAGAGATATCCTGTGTTCTCTTTTAGTGCAGCTCTGTCCTCTCCAGTGCTCTGTCCTACAAACTCTAGTGGCCTTGGTCTCCCAGACTTTCAGCTTTAATCCTCATTTTGCCTTGGCCAGTGTGGCTCATTTGGTTGATAATTGTCCTGTGCACCTCAAGGTTACAGTTCGATTCCCAGTCAGAGCACATACCCAGGTTGTGGGTTTGATTCCAGTCATGGAGCATGAGGGAGGCAACCGACCCATGCTTCTCTCCCACATCAGTGTTTCTCTCTCTCTCCCTCTCCCCTTCTCTCTCTCTAAAAATCAATAAAACATATTTTAAAAATTCTCATTTCATATATTTTAGTCCCTTTGGGAGGTTGTTTCAGCTGTGAGAGTAAATTCAGTCCCTGTTAACCCATCTTGGCCAGATGTAGAAGTACCCACCATAGTTTCTAAATATGAATATATATAGAATTGGAAGCCATCCTGGGATGAGAATGACTCCTTACCTTATTAATGTATCATCATCCACAATGACTAACCATGCTATTTTGCCATGGCTGTGATTCAAAAATCTTTCCAAAATGGCAAATGTCTTTCCACAATGACCTAGGAAAGGCAAGAGGAAAACTTACAATGTACTATTTTCTTTAAAAGATATATAATTCATTTAAAAACATTTTTTTTGTTTCAGAGTTTTTAAAAGAAAAGGCTTAAATGTTGTCATGTACCTTAATAATTTAAAATTTTAAAAATTAGCTTCACTAATTTTCACAGGCATAGTGAACCAGGAGAAATTTTAGAAATCGTGAAATCTAAGCCATTCATTTCACACATTAAGAAATGAAGAATAGAGAGATGAGATGAGGCAGAGATAAGACTAGTACCTTCACGCTAACAAATAAGAAAAAAATTACAAAGCCTGGCATCTGTCCTTCGATATACTTATTCTGAAGCAACTGGTAGAACCTTAAGTATCACAACCATAGGGAAACAGTGGTGCAAAAGTGGACTTCTAAATCTTCATTCATTTTGTAAGTACTTGCTGTTAAGTTTTAATATGCTGGATACTGTGGCAGGTTCTAGGCTAGGCACTAAGATAGTCATAGGCTCTGGGGCCATGAGATAAATGTCAATGTGTTATTGGAAAATAATGAGGCCATGATAAGAATAAAATGCTTGGGAAGAGAACCCAAGTTGATAAATAGAAAGATGCCTCTCATTTCAACAAAACATTTGGTGACATGCCAGAGAACAAGCTAATATTAATTAATATTAAACCACTCAATTTGACCATTATTTTTGTTATTCATGATCTCTTTCTGTACTTTTAACCATTATGGTATGTATTTTTGAAAGCCACCTCAAATTCCTTTAAGAATACAGTAGAATATAAATATAAACAATAATATTGGATTAAAAATAAGAATGAATAAAGAATGAATGAATAATTGATTATTAAAGCCAACTTAAATAGAAGTTTAAAAAGCAAGATTTAAAAAAAAATTCATCTCAAGTAATTTTTCCAAAACAGACAATAACAAATTCAGTAATACATTTAACCTTGTCAGAAGAAATGATAACTACAGGAACATCTGATTCTACATAGTACTTTTAATAGTACTTATTAATCAAGGCATTATGAGTGACATTACCATAAAACAATAAAAATAAATGACTCTATAGAACTAGAAAATCAATTCACTACTTTATTTTTTTATTCATAAACTATAGGCCCAGTGGGGTCCCTCAGCCTGGCCTGCAGGGATCAGGCCAAAACCAGCTCTCCGACATCCCCCAAGGGGACCCAGATTGTGAGAAGGCATAGGCCAGGCCGGGGGACCCCACCAGTACACAACCGGGGCCAGGGAGAGACCGTGGGAGGGCTCCAGGGCGTGTCCAGCCCGTCTCGCCCAGGCCCGATCGCCCAGTCCCGATCGACCAGACCCCAGCAGCAAGCTAACCTATAGGTCGGAGCATCTGCTCCCTGGTGGTCAGTGTAGTTATAGCAACGGGTCGAACGTCGAACAAATGGTCAGACACTTAACATATTAGGCTTTTATTATATAGGATGGGTTTGGGGAACCAGAAAATTAAACTTGAAATGTGGCAGGAACACTGGATAAAAATTAAGATGAACAAAGAGCATCTGAAGGTATCTACTTACAGATAAAGACAGTACAAAGAAAGAGAATTACAGGCCAATATCTCTAATAAATTTAGATGCTAAAATCCTCAACCATTAGCAAATTGGATCCAGCAACACATTAAAAAAAATCATATAACATGATCAAGTGGGATTTATTCCAGGGATGCAAGGCTCGTACAATATTCACAAATCAATAAATGTGATACATCACATAAACAGATTACATGACAAAAATCACATTGTCATATCACTGATGAAGAAAAAGCACATGAAAAAACCCAACACCCTTTTTGATAAAAACTATCAGCAAAGTGGGAATAGAGGGATCATACCTCAACATAATAAAAGCCATATATGACAAACCTATAGCCAACATCATACTCAATGGGCAAAAACTAAAACTATTTTCCCTAATAACAGGAAAAAGACAGGATGCCCACATTCACCACTCTTGTTCAACATAGTACTGTAAGTGCGAGCCACAGCAACCAGACAAGAAGAAAAAATAAAAGGCATCTAAATCGGAAAGGAGGAAGTAAAAATCTCATTATTCACAGATGACATGATATTGTACACAGAAAACACTAAAGACTCCACCAAAAAACTACTAGATTTAATAAATGAATTTGGCAATGTAATAGGATACAAAATTAACACCCAAACATCTATGGCATTTTTATTTTTTATTTTATTTATTTTTTTAATTTAAATTTTCGGGTACCAAAGGTGCAACCCAGGTGCTCTACAGTGGCGGTGATTAATTCATAACCATGGCTGGCCTCCCACTCATGTCTAGGCTCCCAGGCTGCTCCCTTACGCACCCTAGCCACTCCCTCCTCCCTGCCCGCCTTCCTTGCTCCCAGGCTCCTCATTTCTATGGCATTTTTATACACCAATAATGACCTCTCAGAAAGAGTAACTAAACAAACAATCCCATTTACCAATACAAAAAAAAAAAAGTTAAGACACTGAGTAATAAACTTAACCAAGGGGGTAAAAGACCTGTGTTTGGAAAACTATAGGACATAGAAAAAAGAGATAGAGGAGAGAAAGCTATAAACAAGTGGAAGTATATACCATGTTGATGGACTGGTAAAATCAACATCATTAAAATATCCATACCCAAAGCAATCTATCCATTCAATGCAATCCCTATTAAATTACCAATGGAATATTTCATAGATCTAGAACAAATACTCCAAAAATGTATTTGGAACCAAGGAAGACCCTGAATAGCCACAGAAATCTTGAGAATGAAGAACAAAGTTGGAGGAATCACAATACCAGATACCAAGTTTTATACTACAATGCCACTGTACTCAAAATAGCCTCATATTGGCACAAGAACAGGCATATAGATCAATGGAACAGAACAGAGAACCCAGAAGTTAACCCAAGCAATTACGCTCAATTAATATTTGACAAAGGAGGCAAGAGCATACAATGGAGTCAAGGCAGTCTCTTCAATAAATGATGCTGAGAAAACTGGACAGGTACATGCAAAAAAATGCAACTAGACCACCAACTTACATCATATACAAGAATAAATTCAAACTGGATAAAAGACTTAAATGTAAATCCTGAAATAATAAAAATCTTAAAAGAAACCATAGGCAACAAAATCTCAGACATCTCTCATAGCAATATGTTTACTGATACATCTCCTAGGACAATGGAAACTAAAGGGAAAGTAAGCAAATGGGACTACATCTCTTTTGCACAGCAAAAGAAACCAAAATAATAAGAGAACCTCACTGCATGGGAGAAAATATTTGCCAGTGATACATCTGATACATGTTAATCTCCAAAATATATGGGAAACTCATACAACTTAACAAAAGGAAGACAAACAATCCAATTAAAAAATGGGCAAAGGACCTAAATAGATACTTTTCCAAAGTGGACATACAGAAGGCTAAGACACATATGAAAAAATGCTCCAAGTCACTAATCATCTGACAGATGCAAATCAAAATAATAATGAGGTGCCACCTCATATCTGTCAGAACAGCTATCATCAACAACTCAACAAACGACAAGTGCTGGCAAGAATGTGGACAAAAGGAAACCCTAATACACTGCTGGTGAGAATGCAGACTGATGCAGCCTCTGTGGAAAACAGTATGGAGTTTCCTCAAAAAATTAAAAATAGAATTCCCATTTGACCCAGTGATCCCACTTTTAGGACTCTAGTATATCCTAAGAAATCAGAAACACCAATCAGAAAAATATGATTGGTGCACCCCTATGTTCATAGCAGCGCAATTTACAATAGCTGAGATTTGGAAACAGCCCAAGTGCCCATCAGCATATGAATGGTTATAAAAGCTGTGGTACATTTACACAATGGAATACTACACAGCTGTAAAAAAGAAAGAACTCTACCATTTGCAACAGGATGGATGGCCCTGGAGAGCATTATGCTAAGCAAAATAAGCCAGTCAGAGAAAGATAATTATCATTTGATCTCACTCATTTGTGGAATCTAATGAACAAAATAGATCCAGAAACATAGAAGCATGGAACAGACTGTAGAACCTCAGAAGGAAAGCAGGGGAGGGTGGATGGGCAGAAAGAACACAACCAAAGAACTTGTATGCATATATACTTAACCACTGGACACAGGCGATAGGGCCTGGGGTAGTGGAATGGGGGAGGGAGTGGGCTAGAAGAGGTCAATGGGTGGCGGGGGGAGTGGACATATGTAATACTTCCAACAATAAAGATTTTTTAAAAAGAGGGGAAATACGGTCTAACAAAAATGCCCAAGAGATCAAGTTTGTATTTGTAAAATATTCTTTTTTAATCTGAGGGTTTGGTCTATTTGTCTCTACTTTTTTCATACATGATATATTCTATAAATCAAAGACAAATACACCATTTACCTTACATATGTTTTTAATTAGAAAGCCTGCAATCTGAAGAGAAAATCTAGTGTACTTCCAACAGTTTGCTAAATAGACAACCAGTGTGGAATGTGGTTAAGTGCTACTCAAAGATATACACAAAACAAGCTCAGACCATAAGCTTCCTGAGGGTAGAAACTACCAGATTAATTCCTACTCCCCCGGCATCGAACATAGGCTGGTATACAGCAGTTGGATAATATCCTGACTGGTTAAATTGTTAAAATTAAATGAGGAGAAGCTTTGGTGGAAAGATGATAAATTCACTTTGAACATCCCATTGGGCCACAGTGAATTCTGACGGTATGAAAAGTGTATTGTCAAACTTGAACGTAATTGTCATGTGCTCAGTCATATCAATATGACTTAATAAAAACTTACAACCTGTCTTAGTACTTATAATGCAGTGCTTAATCTGAAAAAGAAAATCAGCCTATATCTATGAGTAAAGACGTTGAGAAGAGAGGAAGAAAAAAACTTACATAAGGCAAAAATTATAGCATCTATAAGATATTTCATTTTATTATTAGTTGAATTTATTCTATTTGCAGAATGGACATGCTGATTAAGAGGAGTGGTATGATGAAGGACTCACCTCTGTCTGTATTAGGAATTCCCAGATCCACTGTAGGAATGGAACTTTCTGCATAGTCACTGTAGTATTCAATGAGACTGGCCTGACCCGCCCACGTCTGCTTTACAATGGGGACTGAAAAAATGAGAGAAGTGATAGTCACTGACAGTTACGTAGAAAAGTTTGGAATCTCAAAGGGGCAGCACAATCCCCTATAAAGAAAGAGAACTGTTACTTGTTCGTTTTCAGGTGTTCCAAGCCTTAGAACTCGCTTTTCTACCCTGAGAAATGCCATATGCACATGAATAAAACCCTCTTCCTGGGCCATTTTCAATATACTCTAGAGCCAAGCACTTTTTACTCCTGGTGATAAATACACTTGCTTCCATATAATAATAAATTTTCTGATTATACTTATTGTGTTTAATCAGTATATAATCAGCAATCTGATTATACTGTTGCATTTAAATTAATTGTAACTAATTTTTCTCTTTGCCCAATTGAGTTCATTTAAAATTTGCAAGTGGATTTTTATAAAGCTTTTTAGGGAGGTGGAAAATATAATTACTTCCAAAGATGAGAATAGTCGATATAGTTCTGAGATGCTATTTTGTCTCTTAAAATGGGGGAGGGTATCTTTTCAAACTACACTGTCCCACCCAAAGATCCCAATAGGACCACCCAACTCTATAAAGGGTGGTCCCAACTCTACCATTGGGAATCACTACATATAATGACTGATGTTATTATTGTACTTTTGAAATATGTGAAATAAGATCTTGAGAACCATTGCAGATTTTAAAACTCCATCATTAACAGATAAATTGTTTTAATAAAATAAACACAAACAACAAAAAACTTTCCTGGTTTTCTGCATTTTAGGGAGAGAGGCTAAAAGGCAGCTCTGTATCCACGCCTGACGTAGAATTCTGCCTGATCACTGTTTGATATTAATTCACTTGACCAACTATCCTAGTAATTATTTGCTTCTGTGTGTTTTTTTAAGTTACTCTCTGCATCTCTAAATATTAAGGAGAAAAAGGTGTTTCTGTTGTATTTTTAATAGAAAAAGCCATCCTACCTAGATTTTATACCCTATTAATTTAAGAACCTCAACTCTGATAAAGTCTTCAGGTCAATATTTTAAGACTATCAGATCTTTTCCTTTTTCCCAGACCAAATAAAAATAAATTATATGCAAAAACTGCCAATGCAATGCCAAATTTAAGTGTTTAGCTATGTAAATCAACAAATTCAGCCACACTCAGATAGCCTTTGTACATAAAATGCAAAAGTGCACCATTTTGTAGTCCATTATTCACCAACTTTAAGAAAGAAAAAAACCTATAAATTCTGGATATTTTCTATAATAATCTCCAAAATACCTATTCTAACCCACCAAATATATTTTATACATTAAAATATAAATTTCTGCAATCATAAAATAAGGCAGATACAAAGACTTCTCCAAGTCAAAACAAAGATGCAGTAAATGACATGGCTGCTATGGGAAAAAATAATCCACACTGTCCTACTTCCAAATTCTAGCACAACAAAAATCTTCATCATGACATTGTACTGGCAGTCTGCTTTGCACATAATGAGCAGAGGACTTACCCGAGAAAGGGCTCCCTGCAGCCTGCAGCCACTAAATATTCCCACTCTTGGGTGAAATGTTCCCCAGCATAAGGTTGGAAAGGTCAAGAATTTTCCTCGGTCCCCAGCACTGGGTTTTATAAGCCATAAAAATTCTACTTCCATTTTTCTCAGCCCTTAGCTGTCAGTTCCTATTGGCTCTAATAAGCCTTATTAAACAGCATAGGTATTTCTTCTCAATTAGCAGATTCAAATGAAATAAAAATCTAGTGTGAGTTAGCTCTTTACCTCTATTTTTTGTTTTCAGTTGAAACAGAAATTTCACTAAAGGTCAGAATTACTATATGACTGGTTCCCCAACACCTAGTACAGTGACTGGGATGTATTAGGCACTTAATAAATAGTCAAATGAGGATTAAATTTTGTAGAAATTCCAACAAGAAGCCTACAGCTATTTTTGGAACTAGTGTAAAGGAAAGTTTTATTCATAACAGTGATTCTTTGGTACAAGATGGGTATCCCCATTACCAATCATTTAAAAATAAACTAACCATTTTAATATAATGAAGTGTTATGACTCGATAGTACCAAAAGCATTCAACAGTTTGTGTTATCTGCCACTATAACTCATGTGGATTTGTCCTATGTGCCAACTGCAAAGAATTTCAAGCTAAGGCTAAGTTTTGTATACTGGTAACAGCAGGTTAAGGCTTTATTTTCAATTAACCAGTGTTGATTCTAAACTATTTAACACTTTAAAAATATTGGTCTATTTTATTAGCTTTATTTGAATTCTAAATTGAATTCATTACATTACTTATATTTTATATAGTATTCAAGCAGTGCTTTCCTAAAGATATTAAACATTGAAAAATATTTCAAAATAGTTACATGATCTAATATCTCATTTTCACATTAGCTGATAGATACTTGATATTATATGGTAGAGAACCAAACTTTCTACCATATAATAAAACAGTGAATGCCTCTTTCCAGGTTTGCTGCAAGATAAGTTAAAATTGGAGCAAAGTAAAATTTGGACTACAACAAAACTCCACTGCACAAAAGGTATAAATCTTCCACGTGCCCTTCCAGTCTTGAGGGGGGAGGAGCAGTGTCTCGCTATGAGGCAAGGAGCACACATTTTCACCCCGAGTTAATTTACCTGCAAAACTCTAATTCCAAATGAAAATGAACTTGACACTTGAACACAATACAAAAACCACCACACAATCAACTGTGATTCTTGATTTTATGGAATCTGCTGTTTTTGACAAACAGACCTATTGTTGCCTCAGTATGCAAGTCAATGACCACAAAATTAGAGATACCTGCCTAAACTGTGTTCTAATTCCTGTTTGTAGAGATGGGGTGGATGGAAGACTGTAAAGCATCCCTCATGGGTGATCTGAAACATTTTAGGGCATCCTGGGATATCTTCATCTGTTCCAAAGCCAGGGGAGAACGGAATGAGCCAACACTTGACTCCCTTCCTCTCTGTAAGAATTAATCTAATCACTCCACTTAACCTAGGGTGTAGCCTTGCCCCTTGCTGCATTTTAATCCAAGCCTCACATTTTAAATTAGCAGATTGTAGGGCAGCAGCTGTCAGCCTCTCTATGGGGTAATCAGAGAACACAGCTACCGCAAACTCCTTTTAATAAGTTTGTTCAGATCCTCCTCTTCTAGACAAGATCACTGCAGTAAAGATATCAAATGGGTATTTTTTAACCTAAAAAGGATAAAGTGTTTATTTTTAGGAGCTCAGGAAGTCGTGAAAAGGAACTAAAGGCTGAGCAAATAGCAATTTAACCTCTGTAATTAGAGGGAGATGGCAGGGGAGCATCTCACAATCAACCATCTGATGAACATGAACCGTGGCTGCCCTGAGATACCTGTGACATGCATACAGGCAAAATGATGCAAAGAACATTCTTCACATTTTCTGACAGCTCACATCACGTAGTGAAGAACACTAACCCAAGAGGAAGTGATCGTGCTGAATATTAAATTCCAGAGATTTCCTTGCTTAAATATAATCAGACATGCTATGCCCAATTTCCTTGCTTTATATAATAATAGTTTCTTAAAACCCTACTAAATGCTTGCATCTCAGAGAGTGTTGCTGTTTCAATGGTATCAACATGTATTTCTTACTTAAGCTAAAAGACAAAATATGCTTTTGTTGCCCATGTTCTAAGATTTTTTTTCATTTAAATCAGAATCCAGACATAAGTAGTTACATGATTGTTAGTTTCACTGATAGGGGAAAAAATACAGGAGGTGAAATAACTTTTTTTTAATTTTGGAACTTGGCTTTATAGGAATAAAGCAATGAGTTCAATGTATATTTTCCCTTGTCTTGATTAGAGTCTTGGACAGAGTGTCCATCCTTCACCCTTTTCCCTGGGAGTTGGCCCACATTATAAGGAGCCAGGAGTAGAGGATGTCACTAGTATCCACTTATGCTCAGTCCCTGGGGGCAGCATACCCACAAGTGACAACCTGCCACCAGATAACTCACTAATGCTACTGCCCACTCTCAATTTGTCAGGCAAACACAGTCTTATTTTCCTTCATTGCCATTTGGCCTTTGTCACTTCAAATGTTTCTACCACAGGAAGGAAAACAATATATACCCCAATCATGTATCCTGCTCAACTACAGCTGTAATATGCTTGGACAGCAATCTAAAGACCCTGCTTGATTTATATTTGAGATCATCTGTGGATTTTAGTTCCTGTCTATCCACAGTGTTGCTGAAAATAAAGGCTACTTCCACAGCATCTGTCCAAGTCAAACTTGACCTTGAGCATAGCAGAGCATCAACACAAATATCAAATAGGATTTATCAAGTGTTCTGTTTGGAATACATCCAAGGAGATCACGTATAGCTGTGCCATGGCAGAAAGAATCTGGGGTTTGGAGCCAGAAAACCTGAGCTCCAGCTGTCCCATCAATAGACCACAGGAACTTGGGCCAGTTGTATCTATTTATACTCACTCAGCTTTCTCTACAATATCAAGTGAATAACATTAGTTATCACATCACAAAGAATATTCAACATGAAATTAGATGACAGAATGTATGTGGAAAAACACACCAGAAAATGTAAAAAAGATAGCAGTCAGCAGCAGTTACTGTGGCACTGTCATTGTAACGAACATGATTACTAGATAATTATTTGTCACAACTGGTAGCTAGACTAGACTTAAAAAAAAAGGAAGGCAGAGCCCAGGGCCGTGTCAGGCTTCACTTACATCCAGCCAGTGGACATCAAAATCCCTAAAATCCTGCTGCCTTAGACTATCTTTCCAAACAAACAAGTCCAAGTTTAAGGAGGGCTTGCCACAGAAACCCACCTGTGAAAGCCTTTTAGGTTTCACTGACCTCCAGATCCAAATTAACAGCAGCAATAAATGCACCTGGCTTGGGGGGAAGGGGGGTTGTTTGAATGCTCCTGACATACTTTTAAGATTCCTTAATTTTTAAAGATTTTGACTTAAAACTTAAAAAACAAAAGCATCAGATGGATATCTTAAAAGATTATTTCAACCTTATGCAAATAAGAGTAATAAAACAGATTATTCAAAACTACAAAATTAAAAGTAGCAACTTTTTCATTTCTGTAGCACATTAAAAATATAATAGCGCCAAAACCGGTTTGGCTCAGTGGATAGAGCGTCGGCCTGCGGACTGAAAGGTCCCAGGTTCGATTCCGGTCAAGGGCATGTACCTGGGTTGCGGGCACATCCCCAGTGGGGAGTGTGCAGGAGGCAGCTGATCGATGTTTCTCTCTCATCGATGTTTCTGACTCTCTATCTCTCTCCCTTCCTCTCTGTAAAAAATCAATAAAATATATTTAAAAAAAATAAATAAATAAAAAAAAATAAAAATATAATAGGAATGGTCCCTAATTTTACTGTCACTTGAAAAATGTGTTTCAAAAGAGAAAATACCACTACCATCACCACTACCATCACCACCACTACCACAGCCACCACCATCATCACCACCATTATCACTTCCACCACCGTTCTTAACATTTTAATGTCAAAGCACTCACTACTCTACGTGCAGCGTCAAGATCCAAGTAAAATAAATTAATTCAAACACTTCTGTTTGATGTTTAAAAAAAAAAGCGCAGCCTAGTTCATTTCCTTTATACTTTTTTGTGAAAGATATTTTTCAAGAATCATCCCACAAAGCCATTCTAGATTATGGTAAAAGCAAAAGGATATTAAATCTAGGTTAAATTTGTGATAAATGAAAAATTTACCTGCTACATTGAATTTAATAGTATTTTATGACTCCTTATATAATGAATGCTATATTTACTTAGGCTGATTTAATATGACTTGGAACTTAAGATGACTATTTTAGGTAAACATAAAGGTTTATAGTTAACCTATTTTAAGATACTGTTGATTATAACCACATTTTAATTGATGTCAATGTCTTAGAATTCTGTAAGGATGGAAAATTTGAATAAAAACATCCACCTGCATGCCAGGATTTCCTTATGAAGGGACCACTGCTTATAAGGCACTTTCCCCCTTTCTCTTATATATTTACTCGTGAAAAAATTCATGTCTTAAAAGTTCCAATATGTGCATCTGAGATAAATGTAAAAAGAAGGAACAGTCTTTAAGAAACATTCCTTCTTGGTCACATTGAAATCCCATCTAATATTCTCAAACTGAAAGTTCAGAGACTATGCATCAATGTAACAGGACATTGTTTTGCAAAACGCATTCTTATTCACATAGTGTTCCAAGATTGCAACAGCTGAGCGTGTCCATTTCCCATTTAAAACACTGCTTTAAATAGTAGTTAGAAGTTAGGACCACTCAGGTTCCAATATAAAATTGTCCTTTCTAATTGCTCTCGGTGATTGAAATGATATGACGAGGAATATTGGTTAATTAATGCATTCACTTCAACGATATATGTGTCATTATGCCTTTCTTAAGTTGATATCTGGTTTTTACTTTTTTTAAGACGGCAATTCGGAATCTAAAAATTCAATAAAAATGAATAACCCAAAACATACTTCTATCATCATGAAATTTCTTGCATGTTTTTACTGCAACAAAAATATCCTCCTTCTTCACTGGATTTCCCTAAAAAACAAGGAAAAATAGATGCATATATGAGTGCATGTTATCTTAACTTCCTACCCACTTCAGATCTCACATGCTCTCGAGGTCAAATGCATTAGTATCAGGGACATCTTCCTGTTTCCAGGAAGAAGTTTTAGGGGGGAAAGGAACTGTAGCTCAACTGAAAACAAAGCCTTTGATGTCAGCCAGACCAGGACTGGAATCCTAGCTCTGCTACTCATACAACGTGTCATCTGGACAAGTCCATTCCGCTCTCTGAATTTCAGTCTGCCATTTAAAAAGTGGGAGAAGTAACCACCAGTAAAACTGCTTTTATTAAAGTACACCATAGGTGCCCAATAAATGTCAGCTATATTCCCTTTTCTTTTTCTGGTTGGTAAAGATTTTGACAAAAGGAGAGAACTAAGGGGATGTCAGTGTAAAATAAGAGATGAATCCCTTTGGTGGGCCTGAACTTACTGTGATGTTTAAAGTATTTTTATGGTCCTTTTATTGTCTACCCAAGTCTAGGCTACACTGCTGTTCTGTCCTATGCCAAAGGTAGAATTACTTCAAACATCTGATGGCGGGGAGGGCTGGAGCCCTGAGCTGGCTCCAGTCCAGCTGATCACTCAGATGAAAGGGGGCACATAGAGAGATCTGTGGACAACTCACTCCCAAGGCCACGGACTGCATCATGGGAGTTCTGACTGCTTTATCACCTGTTTAGGCCTTCAATAAAATTCAGTCATGCCTCCTACATCACTTGGGATTGGTACGTAGTGACATTTAACCACAGCTCTGTCATGTCACTCAAGGTACTAGGAGGTCGCCCTCCCCACTAGATTCCCTAGAACAAGCATTAAAGAACAAGCAAGTATAATGTCTACAATTGAGCAAACATTACAGATTCACCCCATTGTTGCAGTGTGTGTAATGTGTGTGTGTGTGTAAAAGAAAGAAAAAACATATATTCATCTTTCAAAATGCAACACATAGACTTCTGTGTGACTGACTTGAGAATAACAGAAAACATATGAGGGTGGTGAGTAAATGTTTCCTTATGAGGAAGAACTCGTCACAACCTAGTGAGCTTCGGGGTCTTCAGGCTTGTCCTGGGGACTGGACTGAGGGCTGCCATAAGGAGGAAGTTCATTCTGGACGTTCTGGACAGTGTCAGGTGAGATCAACATGGGGTCACCAGCTGAGAGAGTAATGAGATGGGCTGAGGAGAGGCGTGGGTATCATGGGAAATGTTTGAAATTGCCTTTCTAGAAAATGAACTAGGTATTCCGATAAACACTTGCTATATCATCAACAAAAGAAGTGACTCTGAAGAGCATGGCAGGCAATGCTGCACGGAGGCTCTGGGGGAGGCTGTGCTGGTCACTGTGCAGCCTCGAGCAAGGATTCCTCAGTGCTTCTCTCTTTCCTCTGTAAAATGGGGTGGCGACAGTGCTTACCTTAGAGGGCTGTTATTAATAGAAACATGACGTACAGTTCTTACCTGGGGCACAACAAACAATTGTTTTTCAGTATGCAAAGTACTGGGACAACATATGCACAGCAGGTACATTATCCTTTGACGTGCAAGGACGTTTTTCTTCTATTACTTACACACAGGGGGAGGGAAGAGTGGGATGTGGTAGCACAGTGGGCGTCCATGCCATCTGTACACAACTCAGGCACTGGAGTGAGGGGAGGTCCGTTACCATTGTCCCAGATGTAGAGGGCGATCTGTCAGAAGGTGGAGACCAGCAGTGAGGGAAAGAACTCAACCAACGCCACACGTATAGAAGGTATGCAACAGTTCCAGGAAGAGCAATCACACTTTCTATAGGCAGTATGAGATGGAAGCATGTCAATTTGTCAATATTCAACAGCTCTTTACTTACAAAAATAGTAATTCCATATGTACTGACCTATCTTTTATTAACAACAATGAACTAAGAATCAATATTCTGACCTGCAAAAAATTCCGAAGTTGTTACAATCAATTGTAGGGAAGCTATTATGAGGATTCCCAAACAACACAGAGAAAGATGCAAGAAAATATTATCATGACTGGTTTCCTGCAGTATGGTAATGACATAGCCTAACCACCCGACTTGCTGAAAATATTGACAAATGTAGACAAAATATCTTTAAAATCACTGTAAATGGCTTGCTAAATTGGCACAAAAGTGTAGAGCTTGTAAGGACAAAAATGCAAGAGTGAGAATCTGGGTCAAGGACACCAAGGACAACAGCCTTCCTGTGGGATGCGGAGTTTCTGTTTTGAGTTCTGAGCAGACAGGCTATGACCCACCGAGGTAGGGTGTCTAACAGCAAACCTCACAGAGCTGGGAATCTGGAACCAGATGGAGGGGAAGCCATCTCCAAATCTCCTCTGGGATTTTGTAACCAAAAGCTAGGCCTTCCTAACTGTTCCCCTTACGTGGTCCAAACACCTCAGAGGGATTTAAAGTGGCCCCACATCAGTACAACTGGCAGCAAAAGCAAGTACAAGTCCTTGCTGAGGAGCCAGGACCTCAATGCAGGACTGAGAGGATTGTGAGACAAAGTTCCAAAGGAGCAGGAACACTCAGAGAACCCACAAAAACACAAAGAAATGAGCTGATGAGCAAGCACCAGCAGACACAACTTCATCCAGACTGGCCGGAGTGGAATGACCTCGGTGTGGAGAGATGCATGGGTGGTGGGGGAGATGCGCTGATAGGGAATACAGGACAGACACCTTTTATACCAGTGGACATGAATTCCTGATTACTGAGACTTTTAACCAAATAAACCATGACATACCTCATGTTTCAAATCTATTGTAAAGTCGGACCTCAGGGCCTCACTCTTTAACCTCTTGGTAAGCCTAGGAAATAGAGACAATTTGATGGTTTTTTCTTAAAACAGAAGTGTCAAACAAGAATAAAACATTCTTGAGATTTTCCCATGTTTGAAAACAGGCAAAAGTACAAATTTTAAAATAAAAACAGGAATTTAATATCTGTGATACAAAGGACTGTGAAAATGCAAGGATTGTTTCAAATGCAGCATTCATTATTATAACATCTAGCAAATACTGTAAAATACAATGCAATAAAAATGCCTTTTTTTAAAAAGCCCTAAAGTTTGTTGACTCCTGATAATCCTTACACTAAATAATGACAGAGGAAGAAAAAGACAGAAAAACAAAAAGCTTGCTTTTCACCCTCCAACTTCTACCCAAGTGAATTACAATTTGTGGAGATTTAGTGGAAGAGAGCACGTGGTGTTGGGGAAGAATGTCTTTTTCTTACTTGAAAAATCTTCAATGGCTCCTTGCAATGCACAATCAAGCCCCAAGCCCCTGGGCCCAGGCATGAGAGCCCCTCCATGCCTCTCCGCCTCCCCAGCCCCTCAGCACCACCTGCCCCAAGCAGGGCACACTCCTGCCTGATCTCTTCTCCTGCTGCACCGCTGCCTCGAAAGCCCTCACCCAGCCTTTACTTGGCAAACTTTCTTCAAGACCAAACTCAAGGCCACCTTCTCTGTGAAACCTTTCCAGACTTACCCACCAGAACAAATGAAAACTTCCTTTGCTCCCAGAGGAGGAAGCACTGCCCCATTAGCTTTGTCACATTCATTAGTCTGTTGTGCATACATCCTTCCCTGTGCTACACCTTCTGAGTCCTGCCAGCACTGCCCACCGTGCTTTGGCCAAAGTGAGCACTCAGTGAGCAGCCTGAATTGACAGGCAGGATATTCTCTGATTCCAAGCTGAGGGAGGTAGAATTACATACTTAAAGACCACTGGGATTCCATATGGCTCTATAGATTCATTACAGGGTTAGAGATGAGACCATCAATTCCAATTATAAACCTCCTAATATAAATTTTAAGTATAAAGAAATAACGGTGATTTTAAAAGAAAGTAGTAATAAGTTTCAAAAGTGTTTACTGAGTTTTTAGCCTTGGTTAAGCAACAGGTATTTCTTCAAAAAAGTACTTTTTATTAGAGGAAAGATAAAGAAGAGTTATAATTTCAGTTTAGTTATAAAGCATTGGTCTCATGGTTGATGCTAACGTAGTCAGGTGGCTCCAAAAGAAGCCCCATGCAATCTCTGTCGATTCCTACTTGGTCTCTGCCCACAGATTTGTGAGTTGGAGTGGGCAATGGTACAGGAAAGGACAATATACTCAGGCATATTCCAATATATATCAAGAGAAAAAAGGTCAGCCCTGGCATGGAATCTTATCCAGTTCGAATTCTACTAATTTGGAGCCAGTTTTTATAAATAAACGATATCAAGGTAACTTTGGAAACTGGACTCATGCCAAGTGCCTCCAAAATCTGATCAGACCACAATTAGACTCCAAAGACAGAAAAAGTCACACCTTGCTACAAGCAAGGGACACAAAGCTGTGATCAGAATCCAATGTCAGGCGACACCCATTGTGAGATGGTCACACTACACATGCCCCTTCTTAACAGACAATAAACACCTCTAAACTGTTAGCCTAAATATGCCCTCTACCTTTGTCTTTAAGTTTCTCATTCAATTCTTGAGTTTTTTTCTTTGGGGGGAACCTTAGAGAGGGGAAAAGTGAAGACCAAGGATTGTGTCTTAAAGATAAACAATGACCAACTGGAGGACAAATAAATATGTGCACTGACATTTTTAAGTGGCTGTGTCTAGCAGCCCATGGAGTGATGGCTACCTCAACATCACCAAGTTCATGTTGATGGGTCACCTCATGTGACCACGTGACACGGTGAGCCTAAGTCAGTCACCTGCAAATGTGTTTAGTTCTAAAAGTATGCAGGATATTCCCCTAACATAAAAGGCTAGTCCTAGTAGTGGGAACTTATTTACACTTTTCTATATACCAAGCGAGACAGCACAAGGGGTTTTTAAATGCTAATTTCAGTAATCAACAAAGCCCCCCAAAAAACAATGAAGGCCAGAAATTTCAATTGCTTAGATAAAATATTTCCTCATTAAATATTCAGTTCCTGTCAAATATGACATTTGCTATTCAGCTTTCCTATTTTTGGAAGGCGTTAAGTCATGCCCCAATAACAGTTCTAAGGGCACACCAGCTAGACTGGAAACTACAACAGACGTAGGGCCTCTTCGACTCCATTCCAGGAAATCTTCCCACGAGACTTTTCTGGTTCCACTTGCAAGCCAGTCAACAGAGTGAGCTATTGAAGGAAACCTAGGTCAAGGTGGGAAAATAATGGCGAGCAGTAACAGTGTTCTGTAGTAACACCTAACTGAAGAAATCACCTTATTGGAAATTAATGAGTTTCTCTGAAGATGCTAGCAAGTTTTTATGGATTCTCTTAGAAGATCCCACAGGTCGATCACCAGGAAATGTTGAGCAGTGTTAATTCAAACCTCACTGATGTGAGACTGCTAGGGAAAATAATATTTTTGGTGGGAAAATAGTCTCAGAAAGTGTGTCTTGACCACCTTTAAGTAACCAGTTTGTCTGGTGACTTGAGCTGGAGAAACACATTTGTAACTGTAACTATAAATTGTTCTGCCTACTGCATGAGCTAGAAAGTCACGGAAAGGAGACAGAGGGAATCAACATTTTAATAGAGGGTGCTGTCCATCACCTACACAATACAGTTTCCCCTTCCTTCTTCCCAAGAGATTCCGGTTTTGAATAATTCTTGAACTCGATAAATGGACTCCAGGGTCAGAATTAGTTTGAGCCCAACCCAAGCACTGAAATTCCCTGGCAAGTGTTAATGGTCCAGAGGTTGGTACATGCCTGAAGTTGATCCAACCAACTTTACTTGGACAAGGTCCAACTAAAGACTGATAAGCATTTACTTCCATGGTTAGAGAGGTTCTCTACTCCTGGACACAAATAAAACACACTAGTCCATAGTGTCTTGAAACCACAAAGGGAACCAGATTTAGGATGAACTGAAGCTGTGTACTCAGCAGGAGAGACAGAGAGAACCAGGGTCCTCAGCAACACTGTTGATCTCCTGCAACAAACCACCACAGACCTCAGACATCAGTGAGGTTTGAATTAACAGTAATAATATGTCCTTCATCCAGCCTGAGAACTACATAGCTCCCAATTACAGGAGGAAATCAAGTCGGCACATTAGCTTTGGAATGGGGAGAAGCCAACTGGGAAGATCCAGTTTTGCAGTTGATGGAGCTAATTGGTACTTATGCCTCCTTTATTCTAACTATAATACTAATTTCTTGAAAAATATAAATAAGAATCTCCTATTGGGAGTTCTGTATCTGAGTCACATTAGCTACTATGTTAGATGGATTATATCATTTTTTTGTTTGATTACTTGTCTGTATCATGAGAAAAAGAAAATACAGTCTAAGAAAAGCAGAATTTTTAATTTGGTCCTGTGGTAGAGTCTGCATTTTTATTTTGTTTTGTTTCTGCTGGCAGTGGAAAGGGAAGAAAGACAGGGAGAAGACCATGAACATTAATTAACTACAAACATTCCATGGTTTGTTGGTAATTGTTCAGTGTTGTGAAAGCAGATGACACTCAATATGGAAGCTAACTGGTGCCTCCTTCCTCTATCATGCTATTATTATGGGGCAAGTACTAGAAATTTTCTGAACTCATGAAAAAGATTAGTCTTTTGGCCCAAATTCCCTTAGCTGTAGCTCCCTACACATACTACTGCAGTGGCATGAGGTACTAAGCTTGTCCAAAAGGGAGTGAGCTGGCACTTGTCAACGGGTGTTTTCAATGACTTCATAAACACAAGGAAGAGAATGATGTGCCTGTGGGACTACTTCTACAGGATGCCAGGCAATCCATATCGTAAGTGTCGAATATGTTGGCTGGTGCACGACCTGCAGCCCCAATTCACAAAGCCCTGGCAGCTGGTCACATGGTGACATGAGGTAGTTAGGAGATGAGCCATGGAACCTGCCAATGCTTGGTGGCCTCTACACATGTGAGCAGTGAGGCCAGAGAGCAGAATCATAGACCCAGAGGTTTCATACACCAGGTGAAGCCTTAATGCCAGCATGGCGAGCAGTAAGACTGGACAAAGCTAACCTGTATGAGGATAGTGGGAGTCAAAGACATGTTCAAGACACATCACTACCAACCACCTGGCTTAAAAAGGGAAGGTAGGTATTTCTTTATTTTTTAATATGTTTTTTTAATTCTTTATTTTTTAAAGTATTACATGAGTCTCCTTTTTCCCCCCATTGACCTCTCCTCTGCCACCCCCTCCCCCAAGCACAGGCCCTCACCCTGTCTGTGTCCATTGGTTTTGCTCATATGCATGCATACAAGTCCTTTGGCTGATCTCTTATCCCCCACTTCCCTCATAGGTTGTACAGTCTGTTCGATGCTTCTATGTCTCTGGTTCTATTTTTGTTAATATGTTTTTTATTGATTTCAGAGAGGAAGGGAGGAGGATAGAGATGGAAACATCAATGATGAGAGAGAATCATTGATCAGCTGCCTCCTGCACGCCCCACATTGGGGATCGAGCCTGAAACCCAGGCATGTGCCCTGACTAGGAATCGAACCGTGACCTCTAGGTTCATAGGTCGATGCTCAAGCACTGAGCCAAGCCAGGCAGGCAAAGGTAGGTATTTCTTACACCTAATTCAATAAAAGGTAAATTGCATTCAGCATCAAAATAGGTCTCCAAGAAGGTCCTTGCTAACTGGGGAAATAGGGATGGAAGAAGGAAGGTGAACTCTCTAGACTAGCAGGATTTGTATCCAGGACGAGAGGCCCTCAAGTTCAAAGGGGTGGGATAAAGAAAGCAGTTATGCTGGCTTCAGAGAAATGGTTATAACCCCAGGCTTACTGTACAGGCTCTTTGTAGATCTGTTGGTTTCCTCTTTAGCCCTGGGGGAAGGAAGTGCTGTCTGCACTCAGAGAACATCATAGGACAGGTTATAGCTGTACTTGTCCCTCTCTCAAGAGAAAGACAATTCTCTCTCCTCAGTACCCCTGCCCTCTGCCCCAACCCATCTAAGAATGGAGCAGGAAAACTGAGGATCCTCCTGGACATGCCTGGTGCAGACTGGGAGCAGGGTGTCCTTGCTCTGCTGTCTCAGGACAGGCATAGGGTCACAGTTTTAGTTGAAAATAACAGAATCCACTGTCATCAGTTTAAGCACAAAATCCTATATAATAAAAGGGAAATATGCAAAATGACCATCACTCCATCACAAAGATGGCGGTGCCCACAGCGAAGACTGGGGGTGGGGGGGGACGTTCTGTAACACAAGATGGCCGCACCCACAGCAGAGGCCAAGTTCCCATAACAAGTCTTAACGAGCAATCAGCAGGGACCTGAGGCTGTGCCCCCGCCCCCCGTGGGGCTGGACAGTGAACCTCAGATTGTACCCCCCGCCCCGGCGCCAGGTGGGGGGACCTCAGGCTGTGCCCCCACCCAGCAGGGCTTGACGGGGGACCTGAGGCTGCGCTCCCTGCCCAGTGGGGCTTGATGGGGGACCTCAGGCCATGCACCCTGCCCCGGCACCAGGCCAGGGGACCTCAGGCCACGCCCCCACCCAGCAGGGCTTGACAGGGGACCTTAGGCCACACCACCCATCCTGGTGCCAGGCTGGGGGACCTCAGGCCACGCCCCCCACCCAGCAGGGCTTGACGGGGGACCTCAAGCTGCACCCCTCACCCGGCACCGGGCCAGGAGACCTGAGGCTGCATCCCCTGCCTGGTGGGGCTTGACTGGGGACCTCAGGCCACATCCTCCACCTGGTGGGGCTTGACAGGGGACCTCAAGGCATGCCCCCTGTCCTGGCCTAGGCTGGGGGACCTCAGGCCGCGCCCCCCCCCAGGGCCAGAGCAGGGTACCTGAGGCTGCACCCCCCTACCCACTGGGGCTTAACAAGAGTGGGACTGGCTGGGTCTGTATCTAGCCCAATGGGGGTGGGGCCAGCTGGGTCTGGGTCTCGTGTGATTTCGAGGCGCACATGAGTGGGTGGGGACTTGACTCTGGGTTCCATGGTGCAACCCAGACTCTGACAGGAGGAAGATTTTCATATACATTTTACTAATTTTCTTTTATCTCTGACACTTCTATTATAGAAAAAGGGCAAATAGCAATATTAAAACATTTCCTCTAATTAATCCCCTTTTAATGTGCACAAATTTCGTGCACTGGGCCACTAGTACATTTATAAAAGCATATAGGAGGCTCACAGGATTACTGGAAAGTCAGAAGAAACTCTAGGCAGAGATTGTCACAATAACCTGACAGAAATGGGTGGTCAAGGGATTGTGGCCTCTGCCTCTATTAGGAAGCTGCTAATCATCAGGGAGCCACTGTCTTGGCTGCCAGACCCCAAATGATCCCTCTCCTATCATAACCTCTCAGACCAAATGGTTCCCCATGCATTATCTCTTTCTCCTTATAACTCAGTTCCCAAAAAGAATTTTCCATGGGTCACTTACCTGATGGAAGCTGCCTCCCCCCGCCCCCCGCCCGGCCCCCACGTGGGGCTGTTCCCTAACAGTAAGGAAGGCTAAACAGCAGAGTGTTGTTGATGTAATTTTTGGATTCTCAACATAAAATATTATTAACCTTGAAAATATTTTGTCAAGGAGGGAATTACACTATAAGGAACTTTCAAGTGTCAAGGGATTCGTCAAGCAGTTTCAGCCAGCCACTAATGACAAGGTATCTACTACCTCTATACCTACAACTGGCCAGGAAGCTTTTCAAGACTCCAAACCCTAGATATAGCACACTTCATGTAAGAAATAATAGAAACCTTTCACCCTTGAAGACATAAAGGCCACAACTGCTTAATCATCTTTCCATTCCTTAAAAATTACACACACATAATAATCTGAAGTATTCAGATTAAAGAGGACCTGTTAATTACCACATTTCTCCAGAATTACAACTTAATTATCTTTATTTTCCACATCTAAAAAACCATCATAAAATAAAATAAATAAATAATAAAAAATAAAATAAAAAGCATTAAATAAATAAATTATTAAATAATAACATTATTAAATAAATAACAAAAATAAAATAAAAAAGCATTATTGTAATTATACACACAAAGAGCTAGGTATGAGTATCTACAATTCCTCTGTCCCTCTGTGTGACCCATGTTTAAGCATGCATACCCATGCACATGACTAGTAATCAACTGCCAATCCCAGGTGTGTTACTGATTTGCTTTCTTACTGACAAAGTCAGGCCTATTTATTGTTAACTAGATCCATTAACAATAGTAATAACACTCTTTTGAGATGATAGATAGATAGATAGATATAGATATATATAGATATAGATACAGATATAATAAAAGCCTAATATATAATATTATATATTATATAATAAAAGCCTATATAATAAAAGCCTAATATGCTAAGTGTCTGGTCGTCCATTCAACCAAAGTGTAATATGCTAATGATATGCTAAGGCCGCTCAACCGCTTGCTATGATGTGCACTGACCACCAGGGGGCAGATGCTCCAACTGGTAGGATAGCTTGCTGCTGGGGTCCGGCCAATTGGGACTGAGTGAGGTGGGCCAACACGCCCTGGATCCCTCCCGTGGTCCCTCCCCAGCTGGCCAACATCCTGTGTCTCTCCCCGGCCCCAATCATGCACTGGTGGGGTCCCTTGTCCTGGCCTGCACCCTCTCACAATCCAGGACACCTCAGTTTTGGCCCAATCCCGCAGAGCAGGTCAAGGGACCCCACTTGTGCACAAATTCGTGCACCAAGCCTCTAGTATGTGTATATATCTAGTATGTGTATATATCTATATATCTATATATCTATATCTATATCTATATCTATATATGTTAAATAATGAGGGAGAGGGAAAGAAACATTGATATGAGAGAGAAACATCGATCAGTTGCCTCCTTCATGCACCCTGACCAGGAATCAAACCTACAACCTGGGTATGTGCCCTGACAAGAATTGAACTGGTAACCTTTTGGTGCAAAGGACGATGTTCAACCAATGAGACATACCAGCCAGGGCAACAACAGTAATAACCCATGAAGGTAGACTTCTCCGAGCATGTATGTGCCCTCCCTTAGTCTCACAATTTATTTTTTGTTTGTTTGTTTTAATTTTTATTGAATATATTGGGATAACATTGGTTAATAAAATTATACAGGTTTCACATGTATAATCTATCACCTATATCACAATTAACTATTCACCTTATTTTGCAGGTGAGTACTATTAATAAGGAAGCACAGAGGGGTTGAGTGATGAGTCTGAGGGGACTAGTAAGTGATGAGGCAGAAGAACTTTCCACTCTACCACATACTACCTCTGGCTGAAAACCTATTTAAGATCCATTAATTATAACACTCAACAAAATTTAAAAAAATCTAATAAATTCTTACTTGTTTAAAAGTGGAATACTAATGGCCCAGCCAGCAGCAAAGTCTGGGTATTTAAAAATTGTAGGATTTTCAGAAAAGGCATAATGGTGAATTATTGTAGATTCTTCATCATGTAATGCTTTTCCTAAAAACCAGTCCTGTTAAATAAAGATATAAAATGTCATTTAAAAAAAAATTCATGTCACATCAAAAACAAAGTCTTATAAGTAGTTTTAGCTAATTAAATATTTGAGTTAATAAAGAATTAGCACAGATTATATATTTTTTAATTTTCTTAACAAAAATATAACTAATATTCATGACAGTTAACAGAGCATAATTTTTGTCTATAAAGAGAGTAATTTAATATATCATCAGGATAAATAAAATCTAGTCATTATACCATAACTATATAAGTAGTATTTTATAAAATATTCCGTATCAAAACATTATTAAGGCAAAGTAAACAGTTTACCCTATACCCCACGGAAGTTTGCAAAGAATTTGAAAAATTCCTTCCTGAATCAGTGCCTATTTTATTCATTTATTCATTCATTCACTCCATTAACATATATTATTAGTTATTATCAATTTCCATTTAACTTTGATTCCACATCAGACAGGAAGATAGCTTACACAATAGTGGGAAGACAGAAAATAAGGGAATAAAGTGAGTTCAGATAGTGACTGCAATGTGCTCTGATGAAAATGTACACAGTGACTAGGGGACTATCCTGGAAAGAGGTGACAATTGAACTAAAGAGCAAGTACTATCAAGGAGCTAGCTATGCACAAATCTGGGGAATAAAAGTCAAGGCAGTTAATACAAAGTCTCTCAGGTGGGAAAGAGCTTGATACATTTGATGAAAGAAGGAAATCTAGTGCGGCTAGAATATACTGGGAGTGAAGAAACAAGGTATAAGAGAAAGGCAGAAGATAGATAAGAGTGGCTTTTACATGCCAGTGGAATGTAACACAGACTTTATTCTAAATGCAGTGGAAGACTCCCACTTCTGGCCACAACAGAATAGCCTGGCTCAGGCCTACTCCCACACTGACGACAAGTATAAAAACTGGAGAAATTACTTAAAAAAAATTGATTGAGAGAGTCAAAAAACAACGAAGACAGTAAGGGCTAATAACCCAGAGAAAAGGTGTGCCCATCCATGGAAACCCCATACCCATCTCCTTTTACTCTCAGGAATTTACTGATTCCCAGAGCAGAGAAGAACACACCACAGAAAGCAGCAGCTGAGGACTCTGCAACCTCACTAGACTAAAACAGAGGCTGGAGCTGGAGATTGCCGAAAAGGTAGGGATTTAAGAGGATCCCAGTGAAGTGAGCCCAAAATTCCATATGTAATCTTCCTTCAATACCAAAGCCAAAGGAAAAATCAAGACGTGGAAAACAGCAGTGGAGAGGCTAAAAAGCTGAGCACTGACTTCAGCAGTGATGCAGGGGAGCCCCAAGCTGAAGTACAGGGTCTGCCAGGGGAGAGGGGTCTAAGAGTAAGGACATAGACATGGCCAAACAAGGTCTACAACCTAGAATATTAATTTTCCTGCAGGATGGGTTATCATCCACAGACTCATTAATTTTTCTGTTGTTTAGTGAAAAATGACCAGGCATGACAAGCAACAAGACCCCACCAAAAACAAAAGGAAAACAAAAAACGGAAACCCACAGATAAATCAGATTTTGCAGTTATCAAAAACATAAGTATGACTTACATATTTAATGAAATAGATGAAAAGATGAAAAATTTTACCAAAGAACTAGAATATATAAACAAGAGTCAAATGGAAATTCCCAAACCGAATAATACAGTAACTGAAGTTAGGAATTCAAGAGGATATTAGACACAAGAGAAGGGAGGATTAGTGACATCTAAGGCAAGTCAGTAAAAAATATCCAGATTGATATACAAAAAAAAAAAAAAGAAATCAAAAGCAGGAAAGTACAAATAAGAGTAATATGGGACACCGTGAAAAGATCTAAAATAAATGAAAAATAAAATAGAAGAAGAAAAAGAATGAAACAGAATCAATTTTTGTAAAAATACAGTCTTAGAATCTTCTAAAACTGACAAAAGTCATCAAGCCATAGATTCAAGAAGCTCTATAAACTCCAATCCTGACAAATACAAAAAGGCCCATAGGGGTGCATATATCCTTTCTAACTGGTGTTTCTAATTTCTTGGAATATATTCCTAGAAGTGGGATCACTGGGTCAAATGGGAGTTCCATTTTTAGTTTTTTGAGGAAACTCCATACTGTTCTCCACAGAGGCTGCACCAGTCTGCATTCCCACCAGCAGTGCACGAGGGTTCCTTTTTCTCCACATCCTCGCCAGCACTTGTCATTTGTTGATTTGTTGATGATAGCCATTCTGACAGGTGTGAGATGGTACTGCATTGTCATTTTAATTTGCATCTCTTGGATGATTATTGACTGTGAGCATGTTTTCATATGTCTCTTGGCCTTCCTTAGGTCCTTTTTCGAAAAGTATCTATTTAGATTCATTGACCATTTTTTTATTGGGTTGTTTACCTTTCTTTTGTTAAGTTGTATGAGTTCCCTGTAAATGTTGGAGATTAAACCCTTGTCGGTGATAACATTGGCAAATATGTTCTCCCATGCAGTGGGCTTTCTTGATGTTTTGTTGATGGTTTCCTTTGCTGTGCAAAAGCTTTTTATTTTGATATAGTCCCATTTGTTTATTTTCTCTTTAGTTTCCATTGCCCTAGGAGCAGTATCAATGAAGAAACTGCTTCAACATATGTCTGAGATTTTGCTGCCTATGGATTCCTCTAGTATTTTTATGGTTTCCCGTCTTATGTTTAAGTCCTTTATCCATTTTGAGTTTATTTTTGTGAATGGTGTAAGTTGGTGGTCTAGTTTCATTTTTTTGCATGTATCTGTCCAGTTTTCCCAACACCATTTATTGAAGAGACTGTCTTGACTCCATTGTATGTTCATGCCTCCTTGTCGAATATTAATTGAGCATAGTGGTTTGGGTCGATTTCTGCGTTCTCTATTCTATTCCATTGATCTATATGTCTGTTCTTGTGCCAATTCACCATAGCTAAGATTTGGAAACAGTCTAAGAACCCATCAGTAGATGAGTGGATTAAAAAACTGTGGTACATCTACACAATGGAATACTACACTGCGGTAAAAAAGAAGGAGTTCTTACCATTTGCAACAGCATGGATGAAACTGGAGAGCATTATGCTAAGTGAAATATAAAGTCAGAGAAAGATAAATATCACATGATCTCACTCATTTATGTAATATAATGAACAACATAAACTGATGAACAAAAACAGATCCAGAGACAGAGAAGCATCGATCTGACCGTCAAACCTCAGAGGGAAGGTAGGGGAGGGTGGGGGTAAGGGGGGGGGATCAAACAAAGGACTTATATGCAAGCATACAGGCCTAACCAATGGATACAGACAACAGGTGGGTGAGGGCATGGGGGGGGGACGTGGGGATAAGGACACATACCTAATAACTTAATCAATAAAAAAAAAATACAAAAAGGCCCTGGCCAGGTAGCTCAGTTGGTTAGAGCATCCTCCTGATACTCCGAGATTGCAGGCTGGATCATCAACCGATGAATGCATAAATAAGTAGAACAACAAATCAATGTCTCTCTCTCTCTCTCTCTCTCTCTCTCTCTCTCATCAATAAATAAAATAATTAAAATTTAAAAAGACAAAAACAAAGAAAACTACACATAGTTATATGTTGGTTGAAAGGCCATATATAGAAAATCTTAAAAGTAGTTGGGAAGGATATACACATTTCTTTCAAAGGAATAAAAATAAGACATACAGCAGACATTTAAACAGAAAAAAATAGAATCTGAAAGACAGTATAATAATATCTTTACAGTAATAGGAGACTTCGGCCAACCAAAAATGCTGTATCTAGTGAAACTATCTCCAGTGGAAGGGGAAACCACTGGAAGTTTTCAAGCAGGTAAATGATTATCAACTGAATTATAGAGAGGCGAGTATTAGCATGGCAAGAGCAGAAACAAGGAGATGAGTGAGGAGGCTCTAATAATGGTCAAGGCAAGAGATGATGAAAGCATGGACCAGAGTAGTAGTATTAAATATGGAGAAAGGATGAATGAGAGGTGCATTTTGGAGGTAGAGTCAACTGAACATGCCAACATGGGATTGAGGGAAAAAGAGGAATCAATCATGATGCTAGGTTTTTCATATGAGCAACGGGGTAGATGGTAATGCCATTTCTGAGATGAGAAAGACTAAAGATGGAAGGGGTTTAAAGGGTCATTAAGAGTTCAATTTTGAACATATTAAATTTGAGGTTCCTATTAGACAAATAAGTGGAGGTATTAATTAGGCAGTTTGATATACGAGTAAGGAGCACATGGCTCACTCCCTTGGTTTCTTCACCCTCTGCTCAAATGTGACCTGATCAGTGAGATATTCCCTGGACACCCTACATCAGGGGTCCTCAAACTACGGCCCGCGGGCCACATGCAAATACAAATATTGTATTTGTTCCCGTTTTGTTTTTTTACTTCAAAATAAGATATGTGCAGTGTGCATAGGAATTTGTTCATAGTTTTTTTTTAAACTATAGTCCGGCCCTCCAACGGTCTGAGGGACAGTGAACTGGCCCCCTGTTTAAAAAGTTTGAGGACCCCTGCCCTACATAGAATAAGCCCACCTCTAATCTATCCTTTATCCCTCCTATTCTGCTTTATTTTCTCCATAGCACCATTGGTCATCTTACACATTATTTGCATTTTTGCTTATTGTTTATCTTTCCTGCATCAAGAATAACCCCTGCCGCCCTAACCCGTTTGGCTCAGTGGATAAAGTGTCGGCCTGTGGACTGAAGGGTCCCAGGTTTGATTCCGGTCAAGGGCATGTACCTTGGTTGCAGGCACATCCCGAGTAGGGGGTGTGCAAGAGGCAGCTGATCGATGTTTCTCTCTCATCGATGTTTCTAGCTCTCTATCCCTCTCCCTTCCTCTCTGTAAGAAAATCAATAAAATATATTTTTTTAAAAAGGAATAACCCCTGCCTGTGGGCAGAGCTCTTGTTCATTCTGCTCTCTGCTATGTTCTCAGAACACCTAACATGTACTAGGTGCTCACTAGTTTTTTGTTAAAAGC